CGTTGATAGCTTGAGTAAGACACGGGTAGAGAAAGAAACCAAGTGGTTATGGCCACGTTCTATGTGTGAACTTGTGATGGATTCAGCCCACCTTTCAAATTGCCAACGATCATACATGTAGGTCTATAACTTGGAGACATGCTTATCGAAGGAATCTTAATTAGCAACTTTTTAACTCCACTTAGTTTTTCAGATCTTCTATCCATCTACTTTGAAAACTTTTTCAATTGGGTTCTCGTTGAATCTGGACATTAGACTATATAGTTTTTAAATGATAAAAAAAAACTATTCAAAATTTTGCAATAAGTACATGGACCTACAGACCAATTTAACCTATATCTTACCGATAATGTTAAATTAAATTGAAAATTGTTAAATAACTCTTAAATCCATTTCTATTCATTCTCCGTGGTTTATAAATATATATATATTACATCAATTTTATCTATACATTACTCTTCATATTTCTATATGTACTATTAAATTTTTCAATCAAGTATATTCCCTAGATGGAAGGTAGCCAGGTAGGGCAATGCAAAGATGTTTTGTTGGTTATATAATTCATCGTGCAATAAGACACTTGCATTTCACAGGGCAATGCACCAATCTGAATTATAATATTTACACACTATTTATTTTAGTATTTTATTAATCTCATGTTAAAGGAGATAAGTTATCTCATGTCATAGAGATAAATTTGTGGGCTCCACTACTTGAAAAAAAAAAAAAAGATGACACAGTTATCGAAAGATGTGTAGAAGAGAAATTTATCACATGTAACATAAGAGTAGTTTTTTTCTTTATTTTATGGGAAATTTTATTCTTCATCAACAGGCAAATGGATCTCTTATGTAATGGATACATTTTTTGAAATGAATCCCATTATTTAATAAAATAAAATAAAATAAAAAAACTGTTGACACAATTTTCCATGAATGTGCAGGAAAATTTGATATGCTCTGCGACAAAAGAAAATATAACCTCTTATTTTATATTCCTAAACGATTTTTACTATATCATTTTTGCATTACTTTTTAAATAAAAATTGCTTATTTCTATGCACTTTACTCTTTAAACAATGTATATAATAGAAAATTTTCATTTGAGTCCAGAGCATTGAAAAGGACGGAATAATAGTGTACGTGGGCTAGCTAGCTAGCTTGTCCCCACTGTGTAAATATGATCATGTTCTATGCAGCTGCATCTTGCAGTTGCAGTTGTTTAGTTTTTGGGTCAATTCAAATTAAACTAATGTTGTTTTGGTTTGTATAGTAAAATCAAAGTAAAAATATAAATTATTCTATATATTTTTTAAAATTTGTGTCTTTATTCATTGTTATTTTTCTAAAACTTTTAATTATTTTATTGCAAGATAAAATATTAGTGTATTACTCTTCTATGATGTATGAAAATATTCAAATTAATTCTAAACTTTAATACTACATTCCATCGATACTTAGTTGTTTCTATAATTATTTTGTATTTCTCTCATTAATCTTTTACGTATAAAATATGTGTTAAAGTTAGACAGTAAATATAATTAAAGACACTAAGTAGTGGTTTAAACATTAAGTAGTGATGTTTTCTCACTTGTACATTCTCTGGGAAAACTTCTCAGTAGGTTATCCATATCAGAATTACTGCAAGTCAAGTACGCTTAACTATGGAGTTCTTTCGTTTCAGACTACCGAAAAGTAGATGCATCTTGTTAGTATAGGTAGTATTAATTAATTCTTATAAGTTATTCCAATCTGTGCAGTCTCATACTTGCACAGTCTTTGAAATTCCACTCTTTCGGGTGTCGATTCGATTCATTCATGTAAACTCTGCTGAAAGTCTGTTAGGAGCAGCTCTTTATCCGTACCTCTTTATACCAACGATCACTCCCCACCCTGAGGATGTTACAGATGTCAAATAAATGAAGAGACCTAATTATTGAAGTTTGAAAATCAAAACTTCGAAAGCTTAAACAAAACTGAAAAAGTTCATTAGGTAATCGGATATGGATTTTAAATTAAAATATTATGAATTCAAGAACCTAATCAATGATACTTGATTTGAATCAAAATTGGTACGACCCAATTTTATTTTTATCTGTTTGATTTAGATCATTGGATTCCCCTAGGATCTTGTGCCTGCGTGTTCCTTCGAGCTTCACTTGATACAAATGTAATTTTTATTGTTTCTATTTGATCAGTAAATAGATGTTGGGTTAGATTGTATACGATTGAGCCTGACTCAATAATTAATTGGATCTTTATTGGAATAGATGTGGTTGAGAGTAGAGCTGTCAAAATGGGCCAGCCCAGCCCATTTAGCACTAGTCCAAGTGGGTTAGGGCCAAAAAGTCCACAATGATATAGATCCACACGGGCCAAAGCCCTATGGGTTAGGGCCAGCCCGCGGGCCTTCTAAAAAAATAATATGTATTTTTTAAAAAAAATATTTATAATAAAATGGTGCATAGAAATTATTAGAAAAAATAAAAATAAATAATTTTTAGAAAATTGTCACTTTTTAAAAAAATTATTGCATGAAAATTTTTTCGTAAAAAGTTTTGACAGAAAACGTTTCTGTAAAAAAATTGACGAAAAAAAAAATTCGTCAAAATTCTTTACAGAATCTAAATTCCGTAAATATTTTTGACGAAAAAATTTTCGTCGAAATTTTTGACGAAAATAGTTTTGGTTGAAATTTTTGACGAAAAAAATTTCCATCAAAAAAATTTCCAACGAAATTTTTGACGGAAAAAGTTTTTGTTGAAATTTTTGACGAAAAATGTTTATGTTGAAATTTTTGACGAAAAAAATTTTCGTCGAAATTTTTAACGAAAAAAATTCCCGTCGAAATTTTTGACGAAAAAATTTCTGTCAAAATTTTTGACACAAATTTACGTCAAAATTTTTGATGAAAAAAGTTTTTATCGAAATTTTGGACGAAAAAAATTTTCGTTAAAATTTGTAACGAAACACATTTCCGTCAAAATTTTTGACGAAACACATTTCCGTCAAAAAAATTTGACGAAAAATATTTTTGACAAAATTTTCGATAAAAGATATTTCTTTCAAAATTTTAAACGGAACATATTTTTGTTAAAAATTTCCCACGAAAATTATTTCTGTAAAAAACTTTGAATAAAATATTCCTGTAAAAAATTTCAACGAAAAAAAATATTTTGTCAAAAATCTTTACGAAATCTAAATTCCGTCGAAAGTTTCACAGAAACATTTCCCTCAAAAATTTTGAAAAAAAATATTTCCGTTGTAATTTTCATTGGGTCACATTTTCATCGAAGATTTTGGACGGAAAATATTCCGTTAAAATTTTTGAAGGAATTCTTTTTTCCGTCAAAACTTTTGATGAAATTTTTTCGTTGTAAATTGGGTTGAATATTGTAGCCCGCGGGCCAGCCCCAACCTAACCCTATAATGAGAGGGCTTTAAAAGGATAGGCTTAAAATGGCCGCATTACATAGAGGTCTAAAATTTTATAGGGCTTGAGCCCTTTTTGACAGCTCTAGTTGAGAGACACTTCTCTGAGATGGAGAATTTAGTGTCAGACGATCTTGTTTGGCTGAAACAAATATGGGGTATCTATTAGGCATTGTAATACTCAAGTTAATATTTGATCAATAAACTTTAGTAATGATAAATAAAATAATCATATTTGAGCTTCAAATCTCTATTATATGGTAATTGGTTGTTATCTTATTCTTCTTTATTATTGTGTTATTTAATTTCATTGATGGGAAGAAGTGACTTTTGCGGACTATCCCATATGCATAATACCTATTTGTATGTTGTGCCTTCTAGATGTAATCGGAACCATGTGCCTGTCTCTTATCTATTGATTATTAAGGTGACTGTAAAGTTCTGAGCTACTGATACCATAAATATATAGTTACAGAAAAATATCAATGCGGCGTAAACATGTTTCCTTAATTTTTAATTCGTGTCATTAAGCCTATTGGACAATTTATGAGTTCGGCATTATAATCCTGCATGTGATAAGTCTCGATCAGTATTTTTTATTTTTAGAAATGATACTTACAACCTAAATTAGGTTGAGGTTAGCTTAGCTAACTCAATAAGATATTTTGACTGAATCAATTTTTTAACATGAACCTGACCTGACTAATATGATGGGCAAAAAATTAGACCCACCTAATATGTAAACAAAATATAATAATTTAATTTTTATGTATATTTAACTCATAAACTTTAAAAATAAAAAAACTAAAACAATTAAACATTTTATAATATAATTTTAAAAAAATTATCTCATCAAAAAAATATTATTATATAATATAATACGTATTAATTTTAGTTAAAAAAAAACATAACTTATATTTAAAAAAAATATTATATGAAATTAAATCAGGTAGTGCCTGCCTAGTGTAGATCGTATTTGTTCCTGTTCATTTTTTCCATTTATGGCATTGCTATGGGTGCAATAGAAACCAACCCACACATTATTTAACAAATAGGCAACCTTTGCTTTGTGAGTTGTGACATCATTTGTGACATGATGTTCACTTAAATGAAATTGGACCCACAGTTGTCCCATTAGGGATAGTGACTCGTCCGTTGCCTCCAGCTGTGCCATACAAATCCATCTGACTTTTCTCTCGGAATCAGATTAACTCCCAAACGATGAAAGCCTGAAAACCCATTTACTTTTATTGGTCACGTATCCCGAAACAGATTATTTTATTCAAAATGTTCATTTTTGCCGTAGTAATGCATGGAGAAAGGACGAAGTTGTTGCAGTTGCAGTAGTAACTGACCAAAGACAAAATGATGAAAGATAAAAAAGATGAAAGAACACATTAGTTTTAGAGATTGAATTGCAAAATTCAAATATAGTCGAATCCAAATTGGTGATAGCTAGCATAACTCAAAAAAAGAAAGAAAATAAGAAGGCTTTCACAACCACTCAAATCATTCATATGGGTATGACTTTAGATAAATGAATCCCAAAGCTTACTTACTTAAAAACACCACCGAATTGGCTTTTGTCAGACACACCTCAAGATTCATGAAAGTAAAGGGAGTGCAAAAAAAAATAAAAATAAAAAATAAGAGAGTAAAACACACACTACTCAAATAAGTATATAACCAACAAAACTATGTCGGCTTCGGTCCCCATATTTTCCCATGTCATTCAATGTGAAACCAAACCCATAAATAACATCCTTTTGAGTTGACCTTCCCATAGCACCAACAGTCAATGAAGATGCAATACTACAAATTTTTCACCCCACCCCATCCTCCATCCCCTAAAATGGGGGGACCCTAGAGTAAATGCATAATAAACTTACATCAGAAAATTTTGTACACCATGCTTTGCATATGATATGAGGCATCAAATTTGGATCTATAAAAGTCAACTTTTATAACCGGATTCCCCCACACCACTCCCAAATAACCGCTAAAGAAGTGGCTACATAAATTTCAGAAAGCTGCTCTAGTTTTTCTAGACCAAATTATTACAAATATGTACATATACTGAATTGGGTATCCTCCAACTCTTTTCCATTATTGCTGCTGCTTGTGCAAACACGTACACTTAGCACGACAGTCTGCAAGAGTCTATCCATACATATATAGGAAGAAAATGAGTAAGTGAATGGGCAACGCTACCTAATGAATTATATAAACATTATATTATTGACATTGTAGAGAAATGAGATAGGTCAGTTTTGAACTCACCTGAACTTGCTTTTGAAGGTCTTTAATGTACTCAACAGCCAAGTCCAACATGTCTGCGGTGTTTGTTTGCTACAAAGGGAGAGAAACAATATTTGATGCGTTAAGGCATCCACAATCGACATCAATAGTGACGCATGTGCCCAAGTGTGCAACAAATCAAAAACCTTACCTTGTCCATGTTAGGGACGAGATCTTGTAGTTTCCTCATTCTCTCACTAATTTTAGTTCTTCTAACCTGAAGGCCAAAGATAACCATTAAAAGACCAAATTCACTTTGGATGCCAATCATTTGCCATATTATGCCTATAGCAGTTTTATCCTTACATTTTTACTAAGAGACCGTTTTATGGATTCGAATGAATACAATAAATACTCAAAATATAAAGTGTTCGATGCTTTCCAAGTGATTGACAAAATTAGGGTTGTCTATTTTAGAGTCAAGAAACAAGGTACAAGTGAAAAATTAAGAAGAAAGGGAAATCATTTGGCTAGAATAAATCATACCCTCTCTGCAATGCTTCTTGGGTGAGTAGCACAGCCCCGCTTGGCACGAATTTTACATGGAACAGAATCTGATAACTGCAGAAACTTCTCAATGGCTGCAATTTCGGCTGAAGTATTTGGCAAACTCAAGTGATGAGCCAAAGGAGCAGAAGTTTGGCCTCCTGTTTCATTCTGATCAATGCAACAAAATCAGGTCAATGACATTGCAGTGACAAATAATACATCAAATATTACGAGGGTCCAATTGTACTATACCTGGCTTTCAGCTGCATTTAAACCAGAAAATGGTTTTACATCATCATCTCCATAACCTTTTACACCAGTCATATTATCAGCCATGATTGCAGAATCATCCCATGGAGCTACGGGGAAACCTGGAATATAATCATTCCCCTGGCTTTCACCAAAATCTTCTTTTTCTGGATTATTTTGTGTATTGCTTTTATTCCCAATTTCAGCTATTGATGACATTAGCCCTGACGAGTAGTTTGGTGGATTCTTCAACCTCGATGCAGTAGAAAAGTTTGCTTCCTCACTGGGGTTATTACCAGCTCCCAAAGTTCCCATGCCTCTTACAGCAGCATATCCTGTCAATCAAGCTAGCATAGCGTCATTAAAACAACCTATGAAGATTGGCATAAATATGAAGCTTAAAAGCCTCATCCAACTTACATGACCATTAACTTAATTTAAGTTCTAGTTCGACAACATGGGATTGTGATTTGTGAACACAGATCATAATAAATTAACACGATATCCTAATTAAAAAATTTTAAGCATTGAACTAAGGAGTCTTTCCACTTATATGTCGTCCTTATTTAATAATTATCACTCTTAAATTTCAAACATTTTATAATATTATGCTACCTAAAGTGAAGTCTTTTTTTTTTTTTGGATTGGGGAGTTGAAAAAACTGGAAATAGGGAAGGAAAGAAAAAAAAAATTCAATGAAAGGAAAAGAAATTGGACATACCAGTTTCAATGTTAACGTTTGAAAACAGTCCCGCAGGTGAGCTATTTTGCCTGAAAAGATTAGAACTATTTCCACGACCAGTTTTCATCTGGTTTGGCAAAGGTGGTCGTCCAGAGCTTTGATAAAAATTCTGAGGAGCAGAGGAACTATAATGATTGATATTGCTTTGTTGATGCTGTTGCTGGTTGTGGAGAACCACAGGTTCATTATTCATGGATGGCATAGCCTCAGATTGCTGGTTAACCTCTTCCTTCACTACAGCGATTTGCTGAACAGTTGAGAGATTCTGAGTAGTAAGTGAATCATCTACAACAACATCACCACCACCACCAAGACTATTGATAAACCGATCGAAAATTCGTTCTGTTTCAGGGCTCGAGGGGCGATTGAACACGTTCTCGTAAAACTCCCGGTCAATGATATTCGAAAAATACGAACTTGGAGCCGATCGATACCTTGTCAAGCTTGAATCCATTATCTCTCACCTTCCACTTCACTTCTATTAAGTCTTGTTGGAATTCAAAAAACAAAAAAAAAAGAATCAAATTTTATCCTATTGTCTTCCAACCACTCTTAACAAATCACACCATGTTCTTGGAATCCTCTGTTTCCTGCAAAAAAAGTTGTTCTTTATCCAAGCGTTCAGCACAACAATTCTAGAGATCTAAGAGTAACAAAGCAAACCCCAAATCCAGATAATTTAACTTAGAACTCTAAACTCTGAAGTGGGTTGTTGCTAAAAATCAAGAAGAGATCAAACAGGGGAAGGAAGGAAGGGAAAAGAAGACGACAAAAAGAAAAGAAAAAGAAAGAGTGGTAGTAGTTTCTATCACTTAGCATCAAAAGTCATTGAAACTAACGGCAACCCATTTCTCTGTTCCTGAAAGTGAATCACTAAGCTAACTGAGACAAGACTACTAGCTAGCAACAAAAGCAACATCCGAAGATAAAGAAAGGATATGAAGCATGAACAGAACAACAATAAACACCTACCTCTTTGTCTCTCTGCACCTCAACACTTTTTTTTTTGTGTGTGTGTGGGGTTGAGATGAGAGTGGTGGTGGAGATGGAAGGTTCAAGAGAAAGGATTCAAAGGGAGTATAAAATAACATTCGATTTTGTTTGTGAGGAGGTGCAGCCAATGAGAAGTGAACACAGCCATAAATCCAGCTCTGAGATTTGGTGTGTTTTTGTGTTCGAGTTTTACTAGAATGCCCCTCAATTTTGGGAAGAAACACAATTGTGAGAGGAACGTGGCAGTGGAAGGCTTCCGAAGGGAGAAAGAACACAAGTTAATCCTATATTTAGAGTTTTGATAAAATGGGAAGGATACGAGGTGAAATTACTCTATTGCCTGCTCGGCTGCACCAGCACCACATCACTTTTATTCACAGCATCACTTAGTATGTAAAAATACAATAAAATTCAGATCATAACTTATATGGGAAAAGTGTGTATAATTTTAAAGGATGTAAAGTTGTGTCATTTTAAGAGAGAGAAAGAGATAGATAAAGGAGGAGAGAGAGTTGACAAAAAAAAATAAAGGTGTGGGTCCCACCTCTTTGTGAGAGTGAAAGGATGTAAGTTGTGTAATTTAAAATGATAGACACTTTTCCCAACTTATATATATTATAAAAAAAAAGTGATATTGTTATTATTTTATAATTAAATGTTAAAGTTAACATAACTTTATTTTCTTCTAAAGCTGAAAATCATATTAAATTTTTACTGTTATAAATGAACATTTTCTCAAAATAGACTCAGGTGCAACAATTTTGCTCCAGGAATTCTGCAAAAGCTAAAATCTGGCTACATCAATGGTTTAAGGTTACCCCACCTTTTGAATAATTGTTCGTAATTTTAAGTGTCATTTGTATGTAATAAAATCTTGTAATCACATTTGCCAAAAACAAAAGCTGAAAGTGAATATTTTTTTTAGGAAAGTAGTCACCTCATGTTGTAAAAGATTATTATATTATGTCATGGATACTTCGATAATTGTGCTGTTATTTCTTCTCTTTTTTAATAATGAGTCTCGTCACTTTTTGTCTTAGCATAAAATATGTTTCTTCTTATAATATGAGAGTAGACAAGTCTTTTTTTTTTTTAATCTAAAAACCACAAATTTTATATCATATTCAGTTTTTAACAAGTCTTCAAAAACTTATGTTAAGGAAATAACATAATGTTAAGGAGGCATTCTCTTTTTTTGTTTAAAAAATGCACCGGTTTAATGTGGTTTATTATTATTTTTAAAATTACTCCTGAAAAAAATCTTAATTGCAAGTCGTGACTTACGCACCGAAAGAAAATGAAGTCACAGGCACCTCAATGTTTGTTATAAATAAAAGTGATGTAAGATATATTATTGTTTATAGTTCTTGGTAGAGTCTTACGTCTTCGTTTAAATCATCCTAATCTATTTTCGTGGGTGGGTGTGGGTCTTACCTTTAGAACCCACACAATTAAACAATGACAATTTTTTTAGAAGACAGACAAAAAATCCGGGAGAAAACAAGAAATTTTGAATAATATACAATCCAAAAGTTGCTAGCTATCCCAACAATTAATATGACATTCAGATATACAACATACATGATTAGAATCATTTATATAGTTTAACGGGGATACAATAAAATGTAGAAAATTAAAGGTGAGAGTGAGACCTACTATAAGTCTCGCATGTGAAGTCCACATATTTTTTCCCCCTCACTCCAAGTACATATGAATTAAAAGGTAATCCACCATATCCATATCAAAGACAAATCTCAATTATTAAAAAAATAGATAGGTGCCATATGTTCTTTGAAATTTGGCTTCGATGGAAGTGGGAGAGAAAAGGAAATATTTCTCTGTTGTGCATGAGGGGACCACTGGTGCCACGGGGACGTTCGTGCACGGAGATGCGTTGAATATTATTCTATGGACAGAAGCGATGTCTTTTATTTTTCTACATAATATATAAACAACCCTTAAAAAAAAAAAAAAAAAAAAGAGTAGATAGAGGAAGTTCACCCAATAATATATAATCAACTTTTTTAATATATCTGCATACTATGGGTGTGCATGACAACCATTCTATTCCCTAATACTATTCCTGAAAAGAAACAATTCTTTTATATTTCTGTTCCTTGGAACAGTTTCTAAAAAAAAAAATGTGTTTGATAACATGTTCTATTTTTATTCTGAGAATGAGAATTGTATTTGATAACACAACAAATAATATAATAAAAAATAATTTCTATTAAATATAAAAAAAAATTGGATCATCATTTTCCTTTTCATATGGTGTTGTTGTGGTGGTGGTGGTGGTGGCGACGAGGGGTGGCATGGTGGTGGCGGCGGCGGTGATTGTGGCAGTGACGTGGTGATGATAGTGGTGGTGGTTGTGACGGCAGTGGCTGCGGTGATGGCGGTGGTAATGGTGGCGGCGGCAGTGGGGATGGTGGTGGTGGAGGTGACGGCAGTGGCTGCGATAATGGTTGGTGGCATTGGTGGCGGTGACATGGTGATGGTGGTTGTGTTGGCATTATGGAGATGGTGGTGGCAGTGGCAGTGGCTGCGGCGGTGGAGGTGATGGTAGGTGACAGTGGCGGCGTAATGGTGGCGATGGTGTGGTGGTGACGGTAGTGACTGTGACGATGGTGGTGGTGGTTGGTGGTGGCGGCGGTGTCGGTGTCGGTGGTGGCTGTAGCAATGATAGTGGTGGTGATGGTAGCGGTTGTGGAGGTGACGGCAGTGGTTGCGACAATGGTGGTGGGGATGGTAGTTGGTAGCATTGTTGCGGCGACAATGGTAGAGGTGGCATGATGGTGGTGGTTGTGATGGCATCATGGAGATGGTGGTGGTGGTGGCAGTAGCTGCAGCGCTGGCGGCGGTTGTAGGTGAAAGTGGTGGTGGCGGGGGTGGTGTAATGGTGATGGGGGTGACGGTAGTAGCTGTGACGATGGTGATAGTGGTTGGTGGCGGCGACGGGGATGGTGGCTGCAACAAAGATAGTGGTGGTTGTGACAATGATGGTGATGGTAGCGGTGGTGTTGTAGTGGTGATGGTGGTGGTGGCAGTGGTATGGTGATGGCGATGGCGATGACGGCAGTGGTTGCGATGATGATGGTGGTGATTGATAGCGGTAGTAGTGATGGTGGTGGTGACGGAGATAGTGGTGGTGGTGGTTGCAGCGAAGGTAGTTATGTTGGTGGTGATGGTGGCATGGTGGTAATGATGGGTGGAGGTGGTGGTGATGGTGGCGGTGGTATCGTGGTGGTGGGGGTGGTCACAACAACACTAGTGGTACGACAGCGGCAACGACGATGGTACCGGTGGTCGTGTTGGGATGATGGTGGTGGTAGTGGTGGTGATGATGGTAGAGATGGAGAGTGATTAAGAGAGATAAGTGTTTCTCATTCTGTGCCCGGAAAAAAAAAACAGAAATTTTCTGATTCTTTTTTCTGTTCCTATTACAACAGAAGAGTAAAGTATGAGAGAAAGAGAAAAGTAAATTCATTGAGACTGAAAAGAGGGTAAAATGAGACTTGTGTCTATTACACACGTATATATCTACAAGACATGTGGGTTTCCACTAATTACATAACATTGACCTGTCAAATAATAGTTCAAATAACTATAATATTTAATAGTTCCCCAGCACAAAAATTAATCCGGTTCATCCGGGAACAAAAAAACAATCCGATTTTACCAAACGAATTTTCTAGCCATTTCTAGAAATTAAAAAAAAAATTTGATTCCGAGAAAGTTGTCATGTGCACCCTATAAATCATAATACGGTAATAGTGTTTAGATAAATTTAAAAACATATATTTGTGTTATTAATTTTCATTTAGAAGATAATTTTAAGAAAAGTATTAAACTATTCTTTCGTTTTTTTTCTTTTTTTAATAAAAAATTATAATAAAATTGTTTAAAATTACATTTTCATAAAAAACAAACTTAAACAAACAGTCCTAAATGTCGTAATAATAATGAATTTTTTTCAACAACAAATTAACTCAAATCTTTAAAATTTTATTGGATGCTTAGATTCAGTTTATTTTTAATAAGGATTCATTTAAAAAAGGTATAAATTATTTAAAAAAATACAGAAACATACAAATTAAATTATCGTCCAAAAAGATCATAAAATACAAAGCTATCTCATTTTATTGAGTTAATTGCCCGGATTTAAATCATCAAAGATTTGTTTACCAAAAAAAAAAAAATCATCAAAGATTTATATATGTACGTCTCACATACAGCTTGAACTTTAATTAAAAAGAAAAAAGAAAACTTTTGAAAAAAAAAACCGACTTATATATGCAAAAAAATTGTAACATTTTCGCAATATGATAAATCTATGTGTAATATATGTTATTCGATCATAACAGTTTAATATTAAATATATTATTAAAAGTATGTGAAACAAGAAAAAGAAAAAAAATCCTCCAGATTGTATTTATTATTTTCATTTTTTTCAGAAAATCTTAATTTCACATTTAGAGTTATCCTGTTAGGAATATGCAGTTAAGTACGTAATTTAATGTGACCAAATTGTAACCTTAATTTGGGTTATTAATGCCACGGACAGAAAGAATACATCCGTTGTTTTACTCGACATTATTTGTACAAATGGATTCGGCTATAATGGAAATTCAAAGTTTTAAGTCTAACTTGTTTCCCCAGAGTGCTGCACATTATATTTTTCTTTTGTTGTATTGACTAACTGTCATTTAATAAATTATAGAGAATGTCTTATCGGAATAAATCTACATTTTTGTAAGCGATTAATAATTTAAGGTAAAAAAATAATGGTCTGAATCTGCGTATATTGTGAGTACGATAATATTATTATTCTCAACATCATGAAGTTCATTGTAATAAAGGATCTAAATGGATCGAACGATTTGTCATGGGTCGAAGGTTTAGATTGCTTTAAATTTGACTTGATCTGACTTGTTTAATAAATAAAATGAGTTCAAACTTTAAAAAATGTTTAATTAACAAACAAGTCCAAACCTAATTTAATGAAGCTTAACTTAAAAGCTTGTGAATTAGCCTGATATATTATTATAATAAATAATATATTTTTATGTTACTAAATCATTAATCCTACTTTTATAATCTTATTTTTTAACTATTATCTACTCGCATTCTCTCAAGATCACAGTTTCACAGACAAGTTCTCTGACTATTGGTCTTTTCATGGATATT